GTAATATTACTAATTTATAGTCTAATCAGTTTGTAAAATTATTTCATATCATGTCCTCTCTTCAAATCTTTAACACATCCTTCCTTATTGTTATCCTCAACTCATTTTTTTCTTCATGTTTTACTAAGAAGGGAGATAGCAAAGCTTTCTCAATATAGTAACACACGGTCATGGTCACGGTCCTCCCATTGTTCATCGATTTGCTCGAGTGGGCCCAGTAACGTCTCCATTGGAGACTTTGTTGTTACTGTGTCTGGCATATTGAATACGTCACGGGGAGCTTGCCAGGCTTTGCTGTGAGGACGAGCTACTCTTGGTAGCTTGCCGGGCTCTCCGAGAGAGGAGGAGGAATCGAATTCGGGTCAGCCATGTTGGCTGCATGCAAGGCTAATGCCCTACCACTGTGCTATCGCTCCAGCCCATAGTAATACACATGTATCCTTTTTTATGTTCTTGTATTCTGTCCTTTAACCTATTAATATGGCTATTTCTATTCTTTTAATATATAGGCAATAGTTCTATTTCACTAGTCCGTATCCTCTTTAACCTCTTTTGACTATTCTCTCTAACCTCTCTCTACATCATCAACCTTTCTTTTCCATAAAAGTATTAAAAATTTGGTTTGAGAACCACATCTGAAGGTGCTCAGAGCAAACTCTTATTTCTGCACTCAAGGGATCACTCCTAACAGTGCTCAAGGGAACATATAAAGAGCTGGGGATCCAACCCATGTCAGCAGTGTGCAAGGCAAGTGCCCTACCCACTGTGCTATTAGTCTGGCCCTATTCACTAAAACATTCTTCTTAACCTTTAAATATGGTCATGATTTTTAGGGAAAATATCGCTCTTAAAACCCAACATTTCATTCAGCTATTGACTCATTAAATCTACCATTTAATAGCAAAAACTCCTCTAAATTGTTGCCTGTATTTTCTCACAAACTATTTAAGTCAGACCTTTTAACCCACTAGTCATTCTTATAAGCCTCCTTTGTTGATTCCTGTTCTTTCTTCAACCTCTTAATATTTTAGTAACTCAGAGTTCAGTCCTCTGATCTTTTATCATCTCCATTTAGGCTAATTATTTGAGTAATTTTCCTTGACTGCATGGTCTCAAACTATCTAATCTTTAATGACTCTTAACCTTCTTTGTACAGACATTTTCACTTGAACTTTAAACTCATGTATTTCAAAACACAATGCTACATCTCTCTTGGAGATTTAATAGTTCTCAAATTAAACACAATAAGGCCAACATAATGACATTTGTCTTAAAACCTAATAAAGTCCAAAATAAAGCCCTTTACATTTCTCCCAATGGTTTTACCCACAATCTTTCTTTCCTCAATTGTCAAATTCATCCTTTCCATTTGCTCAAGCCAATAACATCTTTGATTCCTCTTAATTCATTACCAGCAGCTATCCAAACACTAGTCCTATTAGTTCAATTTTGAAATTTTATTCAGAATCTTAATATGTCATCTAATTTCTATAACTACATATGACATAAAGCCAGTTATTTCTCAACAAAAATTTTACACTAGCTTCATAACTGATTTTGTTGGTTCTACTCTTATTGTTCTATAAGCACTTCTCATATTCACAAATCAAAACAATAAAAATAATAGAACACATCATATTTAAACTACTATTTAAATGCTGTAATGATAATACAGCAGGTAGAAAATTTGCCTTGCACCCAGTAGATCTATGTTTGATTTCCAGAATCCCACATGTTCCCCTGAGCCTGCCAGGAGTGATCTCAGAACTTATATCCAGAGGTAGTCATGAATACCACTGGACATAAGTTCCCCAAACAAAAATTAATAAATAAATTAAAATAAAAATAATATTTAAAATACTTCTTATTACATAATAAATGTCAATGTTATTGCAATGCTGCAAATTTTAACATGAGCTGTCCTCCTGGTTTTATTTCTGATGAAATCTTTATAACTCTCCCCATTACCTAGGATGTTATAGACTCATTCTTCTCTGCAGTACTCCTGAACATGTTAAAATGTTTATAACCTTGGCCAGAGAGATAGTACAGCAAATAGGGTAGTTCTCTTGCATGTGGCAATTGTAGGTTCAATTATCAGCACCATATATGGTTCCTTGAAAAGGTCTGGGGATGATCCCTAAGCTCAGAGCCAAGCATAATTCTTGAGCACCACTGAGTGTGTCCCCCAAATCAAAAATTTTTAAAAACTTTAAATTTAAAAATAAAAGTTCATAACCTGTGTCTTACTAATTAGGATTATCCTGAGAATATTTAATCACATGACTTGTCTCCTTTATTCTTTATATATTTACTCAAATAATAAGTTAATTATTCATCTACCATTTAAGATATCAGTCAACTCCTTTCTTATATGTTTTACCCAAAACATTTATGGCATATATGCATATATATAATTTGAGCTAACTTATATAAATTATAGCATATAACATGCATCAGGTATTGAATTGAAATTAGATATCTTGCTCTTTATATATCTCTATACTTTACACTTATTTTTTTGCATAAAGCAAAAATAGGTATTACTTTGTTCCAGATAAATACTATTTACAAAAGATAAGTTACTTGTTTTAAGTCATGCAGTAGAAGAGCAGTATATTGGACTTCTAAAGATTTATGAGTGGTCCCCCTGTCATTGAATATTGCAGCATTTGGAGAGTAGGTGCTTGGTCAGAGTGACAATAAATGTGGAGGAGAAAGTAGATTGTGCTGGGTGATGTTGCATAGTCATTCACAAGGGATAAATGTTTAAATTCATCGTATAACTGACAAATTGCTTATTTTAGTTTGTATCCATAGAATGGAATGCAATTTTACAGTATTATTGGTCACAGTATATAATTTAGAAACTGTCATTTTCTAAAAATAATATGGGAATTCAAGAATAGGATGACACATAGAATTACTTGCCAGGATCAAGTCAGAATATGGGGGTGGCTGGCTTAATAAGAACCAGATTTAGTCTACTTAAAACTTTGTTTTGTTACTGAGAATAAAATGGTTGGCAGAGAAGATGGTGGGTGTAGTGTTTGTGCCCTTAACTTCTTTACATTCGTATTTTATATATAATAGTTCCTTATAATATAAAGTTCTTCGAACATGATTGCCACCCAATGCCTCTTATAAAAACCACAGCACCCAAAAGAAGAGAGAGAACAAAAGGGAATGAATACCCTACCACAGAGGCAGGGTGGGATGAGGGGGATGGGGGTGGGAGAGTTACTGGGATCCATGGTGGTAGACAATGGGCACTGGTGGAGGGATGGGTACTTGATCATTGTATAATTGAAACCCAAGAACAAAAATTTGTAAGTCTGCAACTGTACCTCATGGGGTTTCACTAATAAAAATTTAAAAATAAAATAAAATAAAACGAAGGTCTAAAAGGGTAGCTTCTAGGGTCACTCCAGAATGTGCTAATATGGGGGATTTATAAAGATCTTCAGAATAATTTTAGCAGTATTTTGGCTTTATAAATAACAAGTTCTACCATGTAATCAATGTACAGTATATAGAAGTGTAATACTAGGCTATTTTCTACAGTAGTTAACAAGAATTTTTATCACCATATACTCATTTTAGAGATTTTCTGATTCTATAAACCTAAAGATTTGAATTCTATATCTTTCCAGAGTGGGAAGAAAAGGACAGAAAAAAAATCAAGTTGTCAGTTATACAATGAATGTAAACATTTATCCCTCGTGTCCCTTGTGAATGACTGACTATGCAACATCAGCCAGCATGATCTCCTTTCTCCTCCACAATCTCCTCAAATTGAAGTGCATATGGGTGAAACTGCCATAAAAAGAATGTAAAGTAATTAAAGTAAAAGTGATGAAATAAGACCAATTTAGAGAGTATAGCCATTGTCCAAGAGAAATAAAGAATACTTACATAAAGTTACTCTATGTAAAATTACATAGATATATTTACACTAGAAATAAAATAAAATGTAGGGCTAATAAAACTTTGCATTAGTTATCATAGGCGTTTAGGGAGGGAGAGAATGTGGGCCTCTAATTGAGACAAATTAATGACAGTTCCGTTCATTAAGATAAGGAACTGATAAGAGCTTTATGCAGGTGTGGCATGGTGCTTGTGGAAGGGTAGCACTGCACTTTAAGCTCTGCTCTCCCATTGTTCATTGATTTGCTCCAGCAGGCACCAGTAATGTCTCCATTGTGAGACTTGTTGTTACTGTTTTAGGCATATTGAATACATCATGGGCAGTTCGCCAGGCTTTGCCCTGAGGGCATGATACTCTTGGTAGCTTGCTGGGCTCTCCAAAAGGGGCAGAGGAGTCGAACCCAGGTCGGCCACGTGGAAGGCGAATGCCCTACCCACTGTGCTATCTCTGCAGTCCGTGTGGAAAGGTATGATTATAAATTTGGTTTGATCTTAGTTTGAGACATTCCAATGGAATTGGTGTTCTAAAGCTGGAGGTAGTACAGAGGTTACAGGACATAACTGTATGCTGCTAATCCTAGACTCCAAGCACTGACAAGGATGATTCTTGAGTATTTATAACCAAGAGTAAATCCTGATTGCCACTGGGCATATTTTCAAAACAAGCAACAAAAAAAAAGAATTATTCAATTCAGGTCTGATATTGAGGTCTTCAGGTGTGTTTATTGGATTTTGGACCTCACTGGCTATGCTCAGGGTTTACTCCTGTCTCTGTGCTTGGAATCATTTCTGATGGACTTGGGGGACCATATGAGGTGCCTGCACCTCATATAGTCCCCGGAGCCCACCAAAAATGATTCCAGTTTGGTTGTATGCCTGACAAGAGCTTTACCCGCTATATTATCTCTTCAGCAAGAGATATCGAGATCTTTAGTTCATTTTGAGTTGATTTTTGTGCAAGGCATTACAAAGTTCAGTTTTTGACAGTGACTGACAAGTTTTCCCAGAACCATTTGTTAAGAGATTTTCCGTGTTCTGCTTCATACTTTTTACTCTTAAAAAAAATTACTGGAACCACTCAGAATGCATCCTTTCCTCACTTTTCCATAGAACGAGAAGGATTCTCAGTGGTAAAAGACAGTTAGAAAAGCAAGACCCAGAACTGGCTTCCCACTCAGGGGAGGATGCTTTGGCTTATCCTGGTAGTTTCAGATGCTCTATGCAGTCAAAGAAACTTCTTTAGTAATGAAATATATATATGTATATAATGAACTATATATATAAATAAAAAAGGTAAAGGTAAAGGCCCTCCCGTTGATCGTCGATTTGCTCGAGCGGGCCCAGTAACGTCTCCATTGGAGACTTTGTTGTTACTGTGTCTGGCATATTGAATACTCTCCGTAGCTTGCCGGGCTCTCCGAAAGGGGCGGAAGAATCGAACTCAGGTCGGCCATGTTGGCCGCTTGTAAGGCGAACGCCCTACCGCTGTGCTAAGTTATATATATATATATATGTATATATATATATACACACATATATATATATATATATATATATAGCACAAAGGTAGGGCATTTGCCTTACAAGCAGCCAACATGGTCTACCTGAGTTCAATTCCTCTGCCCCTCTCAGAGAGCCCAGCAAGCTACCGAGAGTATCTCGCCCGCACGGCAGAGCCTGGCAAGCTACCCATGATGTATCCGATATGCCAAACACAGTAACAACAAGTCTAACGATGGAGATGCTACTGGGCCCGCTCGAGCAAATTGATGAACAAGGGGAGGACCATGATTGCTACCGTGATATATATATATATATATATATATATATATATATATATAAAGGGTGATACCATTTCACCAAAACTCTTCAGTGCCACCCTCGAGAACATCATGCGACGGCTGGAATGGGAAAACATGGGAGTGAAGATAGATGGTCGGCAACTACACCACCTCCGCTTTGCTGATGACATCGTTCTAATAACACCAAACATCAGCCAAGTGGCACAAATGCTGAACGACTTTGACCGTGAATGTGGAAAGGTCGGACTACAGCTGAATCTTACGAAGACAATGTTTATGAGAAACAGCCTTGTTCCTGACGCTCCATTCGCTCTCAACGGAACCACCATCTCCGAATGCAACAGTTATATATACCTAGGTCGAGAAATCAACATGATGAATGACCTGGCACCTGAGTTGCACAGGAGGAAGAGAGCGACTTGGAATGCCTTCAAGAGCATTGAAGAAATAACTAAAAGGACAAAGAACCTCCAGCTACGAGCACATCTCTTTGATTCCACTATTCTTCCTGCATTAACATATGCCTCAGAGACCTGGACCCTACGAAAACAGGATGAGAACGCTATTCGGGTCTCTCAAAGAGGAATCGAAAGAACTATGCTTGGAATATCACGATTCACTCAAATGAGAGATAGAATCCGGAGTTCTGATCTTCGTCAACGCTCAAAAATCAGGGACGCTGTCTCATTTGCCAAGACATCAAAAATCAGATGGGCTGGACACGTAATGAAGTTTACAGACAACCGCTGGACTAGAGCCATTACTGATTGGATTCCACGGGACATCAAAAGATCACGTGGACGCCCACCTATAAGACGGGCAGACTTCTTCGTCAAGACCCTAAATGATCGGTTTGAGGCTCTGCATGTTCCTAGAACGAACAGATACCATTGGGCTACGCTAGCACGCAACCAGGATGAATGGAGACGTTAGTGGCACCCGCTCGAATAAATCGATGAATAACGGGGATTAAGTGATATATTACCTGAAAGTGGTTGTGTTCCTTTTTTAAAACTTTTCCTTTGAAGACTAACTGTGCATATACCTTAGAGTCTATCTCTATCTCTCCATTGATCCAAGTCTATCTTATTATCAATAACACACTATTTTAATTACTATAGCTTTATAGTGGTCGTTCTGGGAGTTCTCTTTTTAAACTTTGCAGACCTTTCTCCCCGCTGTGTGAAGTAGAATTTTGCATGAAGGAGACGGTGGTCCGATCCCGCTCGGAATTGTGGGACAACAGCGACATCGGTCAGGCAAAACCGTCGATTGAATATGATGTGGTCTATTTCATTGTGGAATTGTCCACCGGGAGACTCCCATGTCCAACGTTTAGATTCTGCCTTCTAAAACTGTGAGTTACCATGGACAGTCTTAGTCGACATGATGAACTCAGACAGTCTCTCACCCTGTTCGTTCCATTCTAGGCCATGGGTCCTGATGTGAAGTTCTTCAGCTGATCTTCTCGGTCCTATGTTGGCATTAAAATCACCCACAATGATCTTGTAGAAGGTGTGGTCTTCTTTATAGAACTTCTCTAGCTCCATGTAGAACTTCTCAATTTCTCTTTCATCATAATGAGATGTTGGTACGTAGACAACAAAGATAGAAACTGCAGGCAGTGAGCCACATCTATTCAAATGTAAACATCCGATTCGGGTTCTTAGGCATTCGAATGAATCAATGCTCATAGCCAAGTTTGTGTTGACAAGGACACCGACGCCTCCGACACCTCTTTTATCGCATGTTCCGAGGAACAATTCTTCTCCAGTGTCGAAAACGGCATGGTGAGATTCGTGCCTTCTTGTCTCAGTCAGACCAATGATGTCGTACTTGATCATTCGCGCTTGTACCATCAGGTCCTCGATGGATGCATCTGATGCTAGCATACGTGCATTGAAAGTACAGACGATCATTTTTGTCTTCCTTAGTTGTGGCAGCCTAGTTCGGCCTTGAAATTTTACCGGCCTCTCCTTTCTCATCCTTCTCAGTGCTGCCATGTCTGTGAAGCCTTCAGGGTCAGGTGAATGAGACCAGTTGTAGTTACTGGTTTTGGCATATTGAGTACACAATGGATAGCTTGCCAGGCTCTGCCGTGCGAGTGGAATACTCTCGGTAGCTTGCCAGTCTTTCCGAGAGGGATAGAGGCTTTTGGGGTGACCTCTAATCACCCTTGTAGGTGTTACCATATTTGAACCCTATCAAATATGGTACGATAATTCCGGAAAATGGGTATTTAGTGTTGCTGCCACGCGGGTCCAGGAAGCATCCTGGAGTGTGGTGGCGGCTGGGTAGTGGAGGTAGTGAGCTCTTTGGCACTATTGCGGCAACATGAGAAGATGCCATTGTTGACAATATTGATGAGGAATACGATCGACTGGTACAGCACCTCCATGAATGTGCGAGGAACGCAAAGAGAGAGATAGCCAGAAAAAAAAGTCTGTCTTCGAAAACTATTGAGCTTATTCGCCAGCGTGGTTTGGCGCATGCCTCAGGCAACCGCAAGCTAATGTCCAAGCTCGCAAAGCAGTGCAGAGATGCGATCAAGGAAGACCTCAAAGAGAGAAGAGGAGAAGTGCTGGTAGATGCGGCAGAAGCTGGGCAAAGTATTCGTAACGCTCGTCTGTCCTTCGCCAACTACAAGACCAAGATAACTGCCCTCCGACGTCCTGATGGATCCATCACATCCTCCAGAATGGCATTGGAGATTATCCATGACTTCTACTCAAATCTCTTCGATAGCCATGTCCACTTGCCGACTTACCAAATTCCCCAGGATGGATATGTCGTTCCCAACGTTCTCCCTTCCGAAATCTGACACGCCATTTTGTTGGTAAAGAAGCAAACAGCACCCGGCCCAGACAAGGTCAGACCTGAACACCTGAAGAACCTGCTGTCAGTACTCATCAATACACTGGCTCGGCTCTTCACTCGCTACCTGTCTGAATGCAAGGTTCCATCACAATGGAAAACCAGCAGGACCGTACTACTGTTCAAGAAGGGAGACATCCATGACATTGGCAACTATCGCCCGATCTGCCTATTGTCTATCATCTACAAGTTGTTCACTCGAGTCATCCTAAATAGGATTGGCAGAACACTAGATGAAAGACAACCATGCGAGCAAGCCGGGTTCTGCAAAGGATTCAGCACCATCGACCATATCCACACGATAACCAAGCACATTGAGGTTTCTCGGGAGTTCAAGATGCCGCTCTGTTTAACGTTCATTGATTTAAAGAAGGCCTTTGATTCTGTTGAGATGGAAGCAGTCATTGAAGCCCTAGTCAATCAGGGCATTCAAGCCCAATACATCAATATCCTCCGTGAGCTGTATTGCGGATTCACTACCAGGATCTCACCATTCTACCAAGTAATCATTGATGTCAAGAGAGGGGTTCGGCAGGGTGATACCATTTCACCGAAACTCTTCAGTGCCACCCTCGAGAACATCATGCGATGACTGGAATAGGAAGGAATGGGAGTGAAGATAGATGGTTGGCAACTATACCACCTCCGCTTTGCTGATGACATTGTTTTAATAACACCAAACATCAGCCATGTGGCACAAATGCTGGCCGGCTTTGACCGTGAGTGTGGAAAGGTAGGACTACAGCTGAATCTTACGAAGACAATGTTTATGAGAAACAGTCTCGTTCCTGATGCCCCATTCGCTCTCAACGGAACGGGCATCTCCGAATGAAACAGCTATGTGTACCTAGGTCGAGAGGTCAACGTGACAAATGACCTGGCACCCGAGCTGCGCAGGAGGAAGAGAGCGGCTTGGAACGCCTTCAAGAACGTCGAAGAAATAGCTAAGAGGATGAAGAACCTCCGGCTCCGGGCACATGCTTTGATTCCACTGTTCTTCCTGCATTAACATATGCCTCAGAGACCTGGGCCCTACGCAAACAAGATGAGAACGCTATTCAGGTCTCCCAAAGAAGAATAGAAAGAGCTATGCTTGGAATATCACGTTTCACTCAAATGAGAGAACGAATCCGGAGTTCTGACATCCATCGACGATCAAGAATCAGGGACGCTGTCTCATTTGCCAAGGTGTCAAAAATCAGATGGGCTGGTCAAGTAATGAGATTTAAAGATGACCGCTGGACTAGATCTGTTACCAACTGGATTCCACGGGATGTCAAGAGACCGTGTGGCCGCCCACCTACCAGATGATCAGACTTCTTCATCAAGATCATGAACGATCGGTTTGAGGGTCTTCATGTTCCCAGAGCGAACAGATGCCATTGGGCTACACTAGCACGCGACAGGGACAAATGGAGACATTACTGGCGCCCGCTCGAGCAAATCGACGACTAACGGGAAGTTAAGTGATTAAGTGATTAAGCTTTATAGTGTAAATTACAATTTGGAAGAATACTCCCATCTTTTCCTAAGAATACTTTTGGCTATTCTCAATACTATTCTCAATACTATAACTATTGGTTATAGTATTACATATAAAGTTCGA